AAGGTCCTGCAAGCAGGCCACTGATATCATGGACCTCCCCCAAAACTTGCAGGGATTAGCAGATATTTGCAATGCGGAGCATGTTACTGCAAAACCTCCTCAGTGTGAATTCATCAGAAAGCACCAGGGGACCTAGATGACTGTGACAAGGTCACTTTACTTTTCTTCATATGTTAAAAACAAAGAGGGAGATAGGGCTTCTTCATTTCGGTTTTGCGCTCGGAGCTTCACGTTCCTAAAGCTCGAACTAGTCGAACTGTGACCCTTCAACAGCCTATAACACTGAAAGTTCTGAAAGCCTTGGAATATTTTATCACATTAATTTTGTCGTAGCAGGTTGCAACTTCAGAAGCCATAAGGTTTGAGTGACTCACCAGGTATGAGACATCTGTGAGAAGTGGCCACATACTGCTGCCAACTTGACTGGAGTCCGGGCCCTCTTGGCGACGGCGCCCTTGAAGCGCCGGCATGGCACCCCAGTCACACTCCGCCCATGCAGGTTCTCCCTGCCGAAGATCAACTCCGTGGCCTCTTTAACGAACATGGAGTCTCCCCGGGCTCCCCTCACGTAGAACAGTTTGTCCTTTTCCACCAAGACACCATGGCAAAGGTGAACCTAGAAATAGATAGAAATGCTCTACAGGAAATGCAGCCAGCCATTGGTCCCGATCTCATTGATCTTTCGGAAACTTGTGCAGACGTCTGCCGTACAATGCCACTTTTTTCGGACGCAGGACATGCAAGGCACCTCTTCACGCAACATCTTGGGGGTATTCTTTTCGGAGCCAATCACAGAAATTCACCACGGGCACTCACTACTCGCCTCCAACTTCTCAATGTAAAGAACAACTCATCTTGAAGTACAGAACAGAGAGTGGAACAAACATAACTGCAAAAGAATCGGATAGCAAACAGTTCCAGCCACGCATGTCGTCTGCTATGCGCACAAAAAAAAAAAAAAAAACAACACGGAGGGGAAAACAAAAAAGCTCACGGTCGGGTGTAGCCACGTGACTTTCGCCCACTCGCTCTCTCCTCTCCACTTCTCCGACCTCCGTGCGCGGGTTTCAGTTTTGGTTCTGAGCAGTTGCGTTTTTTGGCTTTAATAAAAATATATGTAACTGTTGCAAAATATTAATTTGGGAGTCTTTCGACACCATAATAAATCGGCTGGCAAAAAATGAAAACTTTTATTGGGGGGTGTAAGTGTCCGTTTAAGTGAGTTCAGAGTAAAGAGAGAAAGCGAAAGAAGGGTACCAATTAAAACACAATTTTAATTGGGCTACTTGGTACATGATTTATGAAAAGGCTCGAAATAAGACAAAGACACTAGATAGAAAACGTTTCAGAAAAGTGCCAATTAATTGGGAAGAAATATCTTATCAATGCCCGGCCCTACTCTTTACATTCATCAGCATTTCGAAGCAGCCCGATGGTTCAATTTAAGGAAGCATACAAATAACATCATTCAAGGAGCTGTGGAAACAATAACATTTTGTCACTTGCCCAATATCTGGAATGAATATTCCATGAAATTCTGAACTTACCTCGTCATCAACCTCTGCAAGCACTGGCACACACTCGGGAAATGCCTCCGGCGGGCCTGCTACAAGATCTGCTGCTGGAACAGCAGCATCAGCGGCCGGTACAGGTCGAGCGTGATCCACATCAGCTCCACTACGTGAACTGAAGCAGGAGCGCCAGCTCCAGGAACCACTGCTGGGCAAGCTGGAGGAGCTGACCCAACACCGCCAGACGGGACATTGTCCACTGCAACATAATAAAACACTCTTTAGAAACAAGACACAGTACAGAAGTCAACCGATTTTTTGGACGCCAAAAATTCAGACAAGCTTGATTATTCGGACTTCAGCACTTTCCTGGTTCGTTGATGGCATGAGGGCTTTATAGTACTTCATGCCACAGAAGACTACCGGCAGTGTGCTTATTTGTTTTTCCGTAACACGCCGGGACTGGAAAAGTAGCGCGAGCAGGACACAAAACAAAAGGATGAGAAACAAAACCAAAGAAGAAAAAGAGGAAGAAAAGAAATTCGCTCAAGTTCGCCGGCAGTGGGCAGCAGAGAGGTTGTTTAGTTTACAAAAAAAATACCGGTGAATAGCTAATGAATATTCATGCCAAGCATTTCCAACGGTTTGCGAGATATAAGCTCAATCTTTCTGACGAAATCCAATGCTGTAGCAGATCGTCTGCTCACCTTTTAACCAGTTGCACAGTTGCGTCGCTAAGCACAATCTGCCGCCCGATTAAAGTTCAGCCTTGTTGGTGCTGTGGTCATGCCTACGAGCAGATTCCTCACTCCCTCCTCCTCAACAAAAAGAACTCCTTTCTCCCCAATGACGAAAGGATGTGTGCTGGCCGGGCTCATCAGAAAGTGCATATTTAAAATGGTTTGACTGACAACAAACTTTCACTTCAAGCCTCATCTATGCGCACAGACCATGGTGTCTTGGTATGACATAATTGTTTGACATACTGCAGAAAAATATTTCTTCAATCAAAGCAAAAGTGCTGCCGAGCAAAACGGGCTCATCGCCATCAGCAACAAGAAACAAACTCTCAAAGCTCCATTTGCACCCAACGAGAAGAAAAGAGAATTATAGACACCTCTTAAACTCATTGATACATTGAGGCACCCCTGTAGTATATGCTTACTTCTGTTTGCGACCAAAAAAAAATTAAAATTACTTTTGATCCCTCAGATAATGTGTGAGCACATAATGTGTAGTGCGAGGTAAGCAACTGAAAATGCCTCCACGCTTACCTAGTAGTGCCAGCAGCTGCTTCTTGATAGCGTCCTCTCTATCTGGGGCTCCTGCTCCAGGTTCAGCACCCTCTGCTTTGCCGACCTCAGCTTTTCAACCAGTCGGGCATGCTCCCCAAGCGACACAGCGGACGTCCTGTCCTCTGTCTTTTTTTTTTCTCTTGTACTTGCCATTCACTGCAGGGGATGGCGACATCAAAATCTGGAAAAGAAAATGGTTCAGGTGTTGTAATATTTATTTAATATAAACTCCAACACATAATTGGGAAACACACAGTTCAAATTAAATTGCTCCCCCCCCCCTTTATTTTTTGGGTGCAGGTTTCAGCCCTATACCTGTGATTGCCCCCTCCCTGAAGAAATGCTTCCAGACGCCCCTGACAAGATATCCGGTATTCACTGTCAGTACAGGAAATAATTGGTATGTCGTCCTTTACATACTCTAGTGTGTAACGGACGATACCTGTTGTCAGAAAACACTGTGTAGGTAAACGAAATAGTATGATAAAATATTGTGTTAAAGGTACTTCTAAGTTAGTTAGAAAGTAAAATATGATTATACTACTTTGCACCCAGTGTACTTTCTATGAGGAACGTAAACTCTCAGTTGCTTTGTACTTGCACTTCAGTGCTTTTAAATACGATAGCATCTATAAGCAAAGCATATGCACTTTAGGCGTCTGTTGGTCCGAGGATTTGTAACTGCTTTTGAAAACAGCATGTGCCGGCACATTATAATTCAGAAAAGAAAAACATGCCGCCGGCACTGCGCCTCAAACCCACAACTGTTAGAGTCTAAGCCGGGCATCGTATCCGCTTCACTACGAGAATACATGGGTAAGCATTTGCACAAGAGCTACTGGTTGCAGGCAAGAGCTGCGATGATGCACGTGCCAGTGACTCAACGCCGTTGTTGCCATAGCAATGTGTGCCACCTCTGGTCGCAGTCGCACATAGCCACATCTGAGGAGAGCTCTGTAAACCAGACTTGAGTTCATCATCTTTCGTTGTCGGTATGCGAAAGCAGGTCTCACCAGAGGAACATTAGGCAAGCGTGCTGAGGCACAGTGAAAGCAAAGTGCCTAGGGTACTTCGGAACAACATAAAACATGTTTGTTGAAAGCTGGATGTAGCGCAGCGTCACTAGCTGATACCAGATCAGCCTTGTCATCTTCAGCCTTGTCATCGGCACAGCAGCTGCGCCGCTAGGGCATACTGTATATAAGGGCTCACGGTGCGTGCAATAAACGTTGTTGAACTCGCTACTTGCGTACGAGCCACATGGTGTCAGAAGTGCTTTATCGCCCGAGCGCCGCGGATCAATGAAGCAGCCAGCGAGCGACGGAAAGTAGGCGACAGCCACACCACCCGGACGATGGCGTCTCCGCAGCAGGCCATCGTGCTGCCCTGTACAACACTGCTGCAGCCCCCAAAACCCCTGGACACGACGGGAGACCTGTGGCGGAACTGGACAACTTGGAAGTGTGAGTTTCAACTGTTTTCTACGGCCACCCTGCTCAGCCATCAACCGAAAGAAGTCCAGGCGGCGACCTTGTTAATGATAATCGGGGAAGATGACAAGGCTGATCTGGTATCAGCTAGTGACGCTGCGCTACACTGGAGAGGCAAGTAGCAACAAGAGGACCATTGAAGCGGATGAGAAGATTAAAGAGAGGAAACTCGGCTGCAACGCAAGCAGGACGCCAAACAAATGAGGACGTCTTGCGATAGTGGAGAAGAAATGTAACTTCGTGTACAGCGAGATTTTGACTTGACTTAGAGCAGGTGAGCACACCTCGTAAGACTGAAGAGTGTCGAATTCAGATTTAATGCGGTCGAGAAACAAGCAGGAAAGTGTCTCTTGAAATTGAAGAGGGACAACTGCGGCTACAGCACAGTCGAGACCAGGAGTGGCCAAGCTGCGGCACTTTGTGTGTTAAGTGCGGCTTGTGGTCCACTCTCATAGAGCGTTCTACCCACCGGATCTGTGTACCAGAATAGCAAGCAATTTAAAAAGTGTCTGTACAAATAGTCCTGACCAGCCATAATGAATGGACACAATTACTTATGAAGCGAACAAAATGCAAGATATTCTTCAGCCTAACCGTTCAATTTTACCCACAATTACTGCCCACTGGTAACGGAAGTGAAGTATGCTGCTGATTTGAAAAAGGGTAACAAAAGACGAACCCCCTCCTTCTGAACAGAGTCGAAGATGAGGTAAGAAAAACAGTTTAAAGGCACACACAAACTTCGAACCTTGAGTTCAATACCACAGGGATGGCCACGTGCTTCTTTTTCAAAGCAGCAACCTGCTCAGCTCGTGTCTCTGTAAAACAAAACACGCACACTGAATTACATCTCAAAGTCGTCGTGTTCGTCTCCCTTTCCCTTCTTGTATCAGGGTTTATAAATAGGACCGTTCACCAGCTAGCCTGCGCTATAACCCTTGTTTCAAAAATTATTTTTTTCGATATTTTTACACATTAAATGCACCACCTAGTCGAACTTATGTGGTAAATTTGTCGAGCTTACAAAGCCGATTTGTTGCGATTTATTTTGAGTGTCGTGGCTACCATCTGGAGCGCCCTGTAGTTAAACAACGTAAAACCCTTTGCTCTTGCCGCCCAGTTCTTCGCAAATCGGGCGCCAGGACCGAATCGGGCGCAAGGACATATTCGTGCCCACCACATTTCGCGAATTTTAGACGCCCGAACGGGGGACGCCGGAACGGGGCGCACGAAATTTCCGCTTTCCACGTGTCCTTAAATTTCGCTAATTTTTGGACGCGTGGAATTTGCAAAAAATCGGGGGCTGGCGAACATTAGGGAGTGTTCGGAGACCGCGTTTCCCCCTCCGCAACGAAGATGCGCCTGCCCGCCGATAGCCTTGACTGTAGAGTTCCGGGTATATAGCGAGTTGCGGAGGGCGTTGCGGGACAGCGAAAACGATCTACGAAAACTCCCTATTAACGGTTTGCAGTATACGTTGTGCTTCGAGCCCCTGATGCGTAGACAACTTACCATTCCCCGGCGCACGCTCCAACAGCCTCCCAGTAGACGCTTTTCGGCACGTCGGGGTCGAAGTCGCCAACGCTCGCCGGTTTGAACTTCTTGATACGGTTCACCACGCTGACTATTGCCTTCGCGCCATCAATATAAATCACGCACAGACTGCTTAGTACATATCGACACCGATATGCCATCGAGATAGCCCTAACGTCAATGCGGCTTTGGTTCACAGCACTGGCTGGCACTGGCCGGCTGGCCAGCGGCGCTGGTATGTAAGGATTGAATTGGATTAAATAAATAATCTGCCTTAGTTTATATTAATAGTATTATTACTCAAAATAGTTTTATAACATTTAAAAGCATAGAAACTTACCATGTTAAGTTTATTTATTGTTAAGAAAAACATTGTTTGTCCGTCGTTGGTTGTTTTTCTGCACTCTGGCTTGCAGCTACGAAATCCAATCCAATCCGAAGTCAATAAACCGAAACCGAAACTACCGCGGTACAGGGCTCAAAGCTATGAAGCAAACTCTCGTTTATCTCGGCCTCGCTTCCCATGGATTTGGTTTTCTCATTTTATGACTTTAAACATGGATGTCATAAAATGGTTGAGTTTGATAGCTGAAACTGTTAAACTGAAATGACCTAATATGTGATTTTCTGATTAAAATTCTTTATTGAAAAAAATATCGCAGTTTAGTTTCGCGGTGAGCGCGTTCCCGTCGAGGTCTGATAATTTCTGGTCGCGTTAAATAGACCGATCTCACCGGCCAGTTTGACTACGCCACCGCTGCCGCAATGCAGCGAGGGAACTTTAGTCTTTGGGCACGTGCGACAACCTCGCTGGAGCTCGTCGCGTACAGAGCACGAGAAGGCAGGAGCCTTCGCGTGCACGGCCGTCTGCCTCTTGTGAACTAAAGTTATGGCGGCTTTACGCATGCGCTCAACGCTTAGTGAGATCGGTCTATTGTGTATACCGGTAGAGCCTGTACAAGGTTACCGACCGTCGGTTTAAGTGCCGGCGCCGGTAAGGCGTTACCGGTCGCTCCGATACGTGGTTGCTGTTAGCCGCGCATCGATTACTGGCCACCGGTACGTTATTACGGCCCACCAGTGTGGCGTACCGGCTTCGCCTGTACGTGTTCACTCGCCGCCTGTACATGATATGGGCAACCGGTACGGCGTATCGGCTTTGCCGGTTCGTGGTTACCGGTTACCGGTGTGGCCTACCGACTGTTCCCGTACGTGTTTACCGGCCGCCTGTACATGGTATGCGCAGCCGGTACGGCGTATCGGCTTCGCCAGTACGTGGTTACAGGTCTCCGGTACAGAGCTACCGGTTACCGATATGAGAATACAGGACTCCGGTGTAAATCGGTATAGGCCGGTATACATTTGTACAGGTTTTTTCAGTAGGGCAAGCAACTCCACTTTGGACGTTTTACCGCTACTCCACCAGATGAGTATGTTGTGGAACGATCTTTTCTAAAAACTTGATGACGACATAAAATAGACACATTATGATCAATAAGGTGCGTCTCTTGTAAGGAGAGAACTATAGGACGGAGGTCGTTCATAAAAACGTTAACATCGTCAATATTCCGTAAAAGGCCGCGGCAATTCCACTGCATAAGAGTAAATTTAGCCATTATTCTAAAACAAAGTTAAAAATTAGTAAATCAGTAAAAGTAGTAAGGTACAAGTAAAAGTAAAAACGTCCACTCTGCCGCGCAGAACAATGAAGAATGTAGGACATCGCGTTGGTGGGATCACCGGTTTTTTTGCTTTTGTGCTTACTCTTAGTAGTCTGCCACTCCATGTCGTCTTGGTCAGACTCAGGAGTGGAGACTTCACACTCATCCATGGCCTCAGTTTCCTGAGGCGAGGCTTTTCCTGCAGGTTTCTTCAGCTTCGGGGAACGGGGCGCCATGCCTCGCCCGCCACGAGACCCAGCCAAAGGGGCAGAGGAGGTGCTGGGCGAAGCGTCGCACAAGTCTACCCATTCCTGACCCTTAGGCGGTGCAGGTGCGGCACGAGAGCCATGCCGCTCCCTCGATGATGCTCTTTCCAGGGAGTGTGGGTGAGAGTGTCGACCCTTATCTTGGAAGGAGATCGCAGAGGAGGGACGGTTGCGGCAGCCACCGGCCCATCCTGGGTTTGGGAAACAGCCTCAGAAGGTACAGGCTGTTGCCCTGTTGGAGTGCGAGGGTTCACACTTTGGCTGGGAAGGTCCGTAGACCGCCCAGCCGAGATTGCATGCCCCGGAAGCTGAATCTTCAGCTGGGGCGTGGGGGACTGCCGCGGCTTCCCATAGTTTAAAAAGGACGTCTGGGTTGCCACCGCAACCTTCAGTGCTGCAGGTCGCCGCTGCACCACCTGCGCATAGCCACCCCTGCGCAAGAACGCAAAACGACGGCGCGCTTTCGGGTAAGAGAGGTTTTCTTTGACCTTCAAGGGTAAGCACTTCTTTCTCTTCTTTCAATATCTGGCATGAGCGAGAATACGCTGGGTGTGGATCACTACAGTTGACACAATGGGCTTCGTTGGAGCAGGAGTCCGCAGAATGGTCATTTTTCCCACACTTGGCACAAGTGACCTTACCACGGCAGTTCTGAGAGCCGTGGCCAAACCTCTGGGATTTAAAACATCTTCGAGGATTAGGCACATAGGGCCTAACTTGGCAGTGAAGATAGCCAGCCCTAACAGCCTCGGGAAGTGTTGTAGAGTCAAAGGTTAAGACTATGCGTTTAGTTTTCTGCTCTTGACCGTCCCGACGCATGGAGATGCGCCTCGCAGCTTCAACCTCTTGGTCAAAGAGCCCTTCAAGTATTTCAGTGTCAGGGGCCTCAATCAGGTCATCTTCGGAGATAACGCCCTGAATAGTATTGAGTGTACGATGGGGTGAAACAGTCACTTTGTGATCAGACACAGAATTGAAAGCATGGAGTGCAGTACTCTGCTGTCTGGATTCAATTTTTACGAGCAGGTCACCTGAGGGCATCTTTTTGGCTTCGAAGTTCTTTACGACCGCATCATCTAGCACTTTCGCAACAAGAAAGGGGGACATCTTGGAGAGTGGAGTATCGTCTTCAGAGAGAAATAAACAAAAATTTGCGGAATGTAGGGGGAGATGAGGTAATGAATTTCAGAGGGACTTCGGTGCGGACCCTTTTCACGGCCCGATCAGGGGGAAATTTACTTTGGAACCCATGAGAGATGGGAGGAGATTTTGTGCCCGGGTGCACCGCCCACCACGGAGCCCAACAAGGGGGTAGGTAATGTGCCATAACAAGAAAGGCTTGGCTGACAAAATTACTCTACCAGTGCAGCCCGGGCGCTATACCCTAGTGTGGTTGCAGGGACAGGACCTGTTTCCACTCAAGGTTGGCCTTGTCGCCTAAGAAGGTGAAAAAGAAAGGAAGAGAGCGTAGAACAAAAGAGAAAGAGGTGTAAGGAAAAGTGAAAGAAGGAAGACGAGGGTAGAAGAGGCGACTGACTAAATCATCCTGGTCGGGCCAAGCCAGGACACCCGTCTACGAGAAGCAGGGGCCGAAGCGGTGTATTGCCTCGCCCGGCGGGGGCCCCGAAGGGTCCAAACGTACCCCAGGTTCAGCTCAAGCGCAAGGATCCCCTTTTCCCCGGACACGGGTACGCCACGCACAGCCAGACTTTGGTGGGCGAACCCACATGGCTCGGGGTTCGTAGTGACGCCACTCACCAAGCACCTAATAAAGTAGGTGCCCCCTGCGTACAGGTATGGTGGCCCACGTGGCTGGGGTCCGTGGTGACGCTACTTACCAAGCACCTGGCACCTAAGATGCAGGCGCCCCCTGCGGGGCTCGGGGTCCGTGGAGACGCCACTCTCCAAACAGCTGCTGTCACAGGTGCCCCCTGCAAGGAAAATGCGAGCAAACATGGTTAGCCTTGTGTGGTTTAGCGCAATCAGGAACTGAAGGTCATGGCTGCAGTAAAACTTTTTTTATTATTTTGGAAGATATTTGGAACTGCATTAAGTGCGCTTTGTTTATTCCCCTTGCGTTACGTCAATTTTACGTTAATATCTTCTGCAACCTGTGGAGTGAGCATACCACAGCGGCAAAATCTAACAAAGAAAATCAAATGCCATCCAGAAGATTAATGAAATGTGTCTAACAAACAAGTTTTCTTGCCTTCATATTCAAATATCAATGAAGACATAGTTCGAAAAAG